AGAAGCGCACATACAGACACGGAGAGAGAGAGACTTCGCGACAATTTGAATTACGCTTTGAATCTTTTGGAATTTCTGTTTTCTGATTCGAAGAGCTGAAAGCCTCGGATATAGTCCCAAGTTTAGAATTTGCGATTGGAAATTCAAATCCTCGGTAATTTGATCTATTTCCTTTCCTTTATGATCTTGCAGGTTGATTTTTGAAGTTACGCACAGATCTGAGTACTTTAGCTTCAGTTAGGTTTTTACTTTATTGATTACGATTGATCGGACTTCAAATTCAAGGTTGCTTCAAGATTACTTGGAATTTTAGGTATTTATAGTGTTCATCATTCTAGTTCATTTTTATGTTCCACCATATTAAATGTGCGATTGTGAAAGATTAATTGTCTATTTGGTTAGAACTTTCAGATTTTGGTTGGAGCTCGGAAGTGTTACAAAGAAGGGCGAAAATATAGTACAATTTTGTGAAGTATTTGTCTTAGTTTTTTAGGCGTGAACAAAATTTTGTAAGCACACAATCTTCTGGTTGTCTATTTTTTGGCCTGGAAAATGAAGGCAAATAATGAACCTGAAGCATTTTTATTTTTTCCGTTTTTGAGGACAATTAGCATAACCTAACACAAATTTTGACTTTGTTGTATTTATCATGTGATTGAAAATCAAATAACGTTAGTTATATATTATATGATTGGAAATTATATTTTCTTTTTCTTAAATACCGTTTTGATAAAGTTTTTGTTAAGCTTTTTAGAAGTAATTTGTGGGACTTATTATGTGTTTGCAAATTTTCGTTTTTAGCATGGGAATTTCTTAACTCTAGAGTATTTGTTTCTAAGAAGCTAGCTCAATTTTTTGTACACATTATTGCATATATGTCCCCACTAAGAAACTAAGACACGAGTGTTAAAGATTTGGCCTTTTGAAATTCACAGAAAACACACCAAGACAAGAAACCCTTTTTTTGGGTGGACACTTTTAGCATTTGCATAGTTAGGTGTACTAGAGATTTTTAATGCAAAAACATCTCTTTTGATGTTACTTGTTGGAAAAATATACTTTTGAGTTTTGCGATTGCTCCCTTCTCAATTGAATTTTAATTAATCCTTTATTTTGGCATTTCTAAGCATGGACTTTAGAATAGAAAACGACATTCAATGCTGTTGATTTGGTAACTTGGGTGGAAATTTGTTATCGGGTCTGACTTTGTCAGAATTGCTGAATTTCCAGTTAAAGTGGACAGCTTGAAAATTTTAACTTCTGATCATTTTTTCAATTCATTCATAGAGAAAAGTAGTAGATGAATGGACGTACATTTCAAAATCTTTCTGCTCAATCTATCAGAGAAATATCAGCCTGATGGGGATGTTGTGTCACAGTCCTAATTGCGAACTAGTGTGGACCAGTGGGGGCTTCTTGAGGTTCAAACCCCCATACTGACTAGCACTTTCTATTCAGTACAGTGTTCAGGTTGTGAATGATAGGATGAGTTTGCTCATAGCAGCAGTCTTTACTTGATAACCCTATGTGAAGCTGTAAATTTGAGAAATTCAGTACATTTGGCAGAATTATAAACCAGTCATGGGAATCCTGCTCTGATGTTTGGTTGTGAATAGTGATTACAGGACTTGCAAGCCGCAAATGCACCATAACATTGAAAATCATTTCTGACGGTTGAAATGAGATGCAATGCGTGCTGGCGGGAATTGGAAGGACGAGCCATATCCACCACCTGTGGTCACCTCTTGTGTATCCTAATGCTTATGGTAGTTTTGATACCAGTAAATGCATATTTCTTGCAATTATGGGGACTTGGTGCATAAGGTCAAAGTTTCCTTAATTAGTTAAAAGGCAACGAAGATGCCAGCAAAATCCTCAGTAATGATGCAGCTTGCCCCATTTGTGATCAAGTGCTCTCTAAAAGGTAGGAGGGTTTTTATGGGAAATTTGGAATTTCTATTTGGTTTTCTTGCCTGTGAATTGTTAAGCATAAGCTCTAATGGTATATATAAGGATTATGAGAAGCAAGAAAATGCAACTTCCGTTGTGCATTGTGCATATTTTCTGAGTGGAAAGATTATATGCATATATGAATATTCAGTCTTAAGCACTTCAGGTTTGGAACCAGAAATTTTTGGACAACTTTGTGATTCTTCATTTTAGTTATCATTGGCATTCATCTCATTTGACTACGTTTTAACTGAATGCTGTATTTTATCTGTCAGTCTCATGAAACCTGTGGACATCAATCCAAATGATGAATGGATAAATGTAAGCAAGTACTCTTCAAATAATTCATTTGATCTGAGGCATCAGTCCATTTCAAATGAAAATCACCATATGCTTTGTGCTTTTAATGACCTAATCATGTTTCTGGAACTTACTCATCTTTCTGGCAATTCTTTTTCCTGAAATTTTTTACATACTCTCCTGCAGATGGCAATGGCTGGGATATCTCCACAGATTTGTATCCTGTATGATTTAAACTAGATATATAAACGTATATATAGTACCTCTATATTTCTAATGCTAAAATTGGTCTAGAGCACTTGTTATTTGAAAATTCTTGTCAGCATACAAATTGGCCCCCTGCATCTTTCCTTGAACAAACACAGTGATGAAGAGTGCATACAGAAGTGTGATGTTTTACATTGGCCAAAAGGAACTGGAGATGCAATTCAAGATGAACAGAATTGTAGCTCAGTGCAGGCAGAAATGTGAAGTAATGCAAGAAAAGTTTACCGAAAAACTGGAGCAGGTGCATACTGCATACCAGAAAATGGCGAAGAGGTGCCAGCTGATGGAACAAGAGATTGAGAGCTTGTCCAAAGACAAGCAAGAGCTCCAAGAAAAATTTGCTGAGAAATCTAGGTCTGTCTCTGACATTATTGTGCAGAAACCTTATAAGACCTGATATGTTATACTTTCATAAGTGGAACGTTGACACAAACTATGATTTCCAAACTACCAGGCAAAAGAGAAAACTTGATGAAATGTATGATCAATTGAGAAGCGAATATGAGTCGGTAAAACGAGCGGCCATTCAGCCAGCAAACAACTTCTACTCAAGAACTGAGCCCGATTTCTTCTCAAATCCAGCTAACATGATGGATAACAGAGATCCTATCAGAAAAGGTAATCCCGTTCTGTTTATAGCATTGAAGAGTTGTCATGAGAATCGTCTAGTTTGACATAAAAAGTACTGCTTGCTTTCTAAATACTTCATAACATGTGCTGCGGGCTGTATTCTTCCGAGAAATACTAGTTGACTTATTTGTCGCAGATTGGTCGGTTCTCACTCCTAACACTCCAGGGCCTCGAGAAGATATTTGGCCACCAGCAAGACAGCATAGTTCCAACTCTGGCCCATTTGACATCTCCAGCGGCTCACCTGCAAAACCATCAGCAATTCCTGTTGATTCTGGAAACAGAAGGCCTGGTGGTCGCCCTGTTTTTGGAGCTGGAACTGGAGCAAGCAACCCCTCAATGACTTTGAGGAATCTCATCCTTTCACCAATAAAGCGGCCTCAGCTCTCTCGTAGCCGGCCTCAAATGTTCACGTAAGCTGCAAACTCAACTTGCTGGAAATACCTTCTCCCATTCCTGTGCTAAATTTTCATCACTTCTTCATTTTCCAGATTGTAGAAAGAACAGGGCATGCCATAACTGAAGTACACAAACTCCAAGCAACCATTCCTCTCCTCTGTGCTTCTGCGGAAAAGAAAAAGTGAAACTCAACCATGGACCAGCTTTTTGACTTTGCATTGTAAACTTTGGTTCCTTCCCTCGCATATAGTGAATATTTTTTAGGTGGATGGTTAGCCGACAGCAGTTCAAATAGACGATGGTACGAAGAAGCTGATTTTCCTCTTGCTCTTGTAGTCACTGTTGAACATAGTAGTTAACTAGTTATGTTAAGAGTCCACTATTTCTTGCCTTACTCAAACACAACAAAGGGACATATTTGTTAATGTATGTGAATATTCCATGGCATAAATGTAACTAACTCTCCCCAAACGCTGTGATGGTGGGAGTTACGTATACTGAGCTGCCTTTTACGGGAATACCCCATGAGACTATTCGGATATCATGTGAAGTCAGAAATATCGATCTTAAGTACAGAACTCAAATGCTTTAGATTGGACAGTAGGTTCTTGAATCACTAGTACTCCACCTTGCCAGTATCTGACATTGATCAATATAATGGAAAAATGCCAGTTTTCATGATAAAAGGGAGATCATCCCAGCTTAACAATCTATTAAGGATGAATGTATTTCATACTTCCACTGATGGTTAACTCACTGCAGTTGTCATTCATCATATCGCTTACATTGTCAAACTTATCTTCAGATGCATCTGTTGTCTTGCCATGTTGGTTTGCAACTATGCACAGAGTTTGCTCCACCAATGACTGACAATGAAAAGAGGGGCTAGAAATGACAGAACATATGAACCAACTCGACAACTCAATTCAACTAGACAAAAACAACGTAAGAAACCAAGATGAGGAAAAAAAAATCAAAAAAGAAACCATTATGTATTGAAAAGATCTCCATTTCATATTCACATTTTCGGTATTTCACAGAGATACACAGAATTTCCACGTCATCTGCAGCAAAGGTATTGCAACTATATTGCACATATGTTCTATGATGATAAGTGGCAAGGCAAGAAAACCTTCAAAACTGGAGTCTTTGTAGATAGTTCAATGGTATCACCATGTTGGATAGAATAAACAACATGTGAACCATCAATGTATATAAGACCCTGTTTACAGAACCATGCCATATCCATGGACTCGTCAGATCTTACTACTCCATGCATTAAGCTAGAGTTGCCTGTTCCTGGTGAAATAGGCTCCCTTACCATATACTGGAGATCCTTAGATAATATGGGCATCGCAAATCCCCCAGCTGAGAGCATTGCAGCAGTTGATCCAGCGGCTGTTGAGACTCTTAGACCGCTTGATCGACAATTCACTAGAGGGGAACATGGCTGGCCATCTTTCCTAATTCTGGCAACAGAGAGGACATTGATCAACATTCAACTCGTACAATCACAAATTATCACATATATGACTGTATAGACTGTTAATGCTCCAAAGGTAGCCCCTTACCTGAACGAGAATCGAGAAACTGTTGCAGGGCATGGGTGGGCAATCAAAACGTCATTAAGAGCATAACTTGACACAAGCTGGGAGTTGACTCTTATTGACATCCTTGACAATTCAGAAGGAATTTTGCCACACTCGAGGATGCCATCTAGTATCTGAAAGAAAAGCTTCTGTTCAGAGAACTATGCAAAAACTTTGAAGTGAATTTTGACCTCAGGAGTGTAGCGTCAGTTAACGCCCTCTTACCTGGATACTTATTTAAAGTATCATATAGGCGCTGAAAAAAGATACCACATGGCAGCAACAACTACATTTACGGGGGAGTGAAACACGCAAAAAACTATATTACTTTGATACAAACCGAACATATCAGTCAGGCTTATATGGAAAAGTAAATGTTCTAGCAAAGCTGGCTGCTGCAGGACTCGCTTCAAAGCCAAGCAGTTAAATTACTGACTAGTAACTAGTTTTGTTTTCCCAATTTCCCAATTTACTTAATGTACTCTTACTTGTTCAAAGTTGTTGACAGTTGCTGCACAAAGATAACCAGTGCTTCTTGTAGCATCGAACTCGTCACTGAACTCTTCCACCTAAAAAAAATAGCAAAACAGAAAATGATTAATAAATGCAATAAATTTGTGGTATTAACTTGTAAAATATTAGTTCCATAATGGATTGATAGATAGCCACAAAAAATAGCGTTGCAGTAAAAACCACAAATTAAAATTTAGCAAGACCAAGAAGCAAACCTCTGCAGCTTGTGTGGGGTCAGAATTCACTCCTAGAACTGGAATTGAATCATCCATGAAATGGCTAGCCTGTAATAGTGTACCATCACCGCCTATAGTAACCACCAGATCCACATTATGGATTGGCTGTGATAAATTACTACGGAAAACAGCCTTCCAATCAACAGACTTTTTCTGCAATATATTCTGACAGAAGTTTATGGCATCCTTGTGAACCTTACGCCTGCCGTCCAGATAACTTAAAACCTGCAATGTCTACAATGGGAAGCATATTACAAAAATGAACACCAAAGCAACTAAAGGGCTGGATATCATACTAGAGAAGAAAACAATGGACAAATATACCCTTAATGCAAGATGTGTCAACCAAAATGGTAGCTACCAACCAGAGATCAAGATCTTAATATAATGAATAACACTTCCCAATATAGAGGATCGTAACATCTTTAAATACAAGTCCAAAATACAGAACATTGAAAATTTGGGGTGGGGAAGGGACATTTTTCAATTTTTGCAGAATTGATTTTACAAAATTTTAGCTTGGTAACAAAAACAATAATGTTAGACAAATTAAATCACGAGAATATTTAATTTATGATGATGCATCATCAATCAACCCATTATTATTTTGAAGATTACAATAGAAGAAGTTGATAGAAAATAAGATATTTTGGTAAATATACAGATCAAATAGGATTATAATCCTGCTCATACCATTTAAGAATGAAGAGAATGATTTAGTCGGATAGAGAGCTGCACTAGCCTCAAGAAATTTTGATTTCATTTGAAAGCATTCAGTTCAGATATCATAAGGCTTATTTGGCTTTGGAGAAGTCAAGCTCAGGGCGGGAGAGGTGGAAGAGAGCCAAGTAACATTACAAGGAAATCGGAAACTACAATTCTTTAACTGGATAGAATCAAAGCGTTAGGTCCCAATGATTGTACTACAATTGTTCCAAAGTTTGTAGGGAGTCTTGGCATATGATGGGGGATAGGACATATATTCCCAATTCATAGTAAGGAATCACTAAAAAAGTGTGCAGGACTCCATGCAATATTGGCCTACAAACCATGTGAGCAATCCACAAACAAGATGAAAGCCAAAGTTCCATTTACGACACAATATTAAGTGCTTATAAACACTCCTACCCTGAGAAATGATTACACTGCATTTCTTGTTCTAACTACTGATCAAAGCCTTCTCCAAATAACGTGGCAAACAGTGCCTGAATCCTTGTTTACCATTTTGTTAGGCCATCGAATGCTCAGAGACAAAGAAGAAGTGATCATGGTTTTGTTCCATTGTTATAGACATCTACTCAAGTTCAAAGCAATACAAAGTTACATATCCAAGTTAAGTTTGTTGGTTTCTCACAGAAATACTCGAAAGTGATATATTTCATGATTTAGGGTTCATATAAAAACATCAACTTCAAGCATATATTTTTACCATGAATCAATATACACTAACTGCAGCCAATGCCGTTAACTTTGACATATTATCAAACAGATACTTGACATGGGTGAGATTCTACCATGCATAAGCTGATTAATCACTCCCTCGACAATGGGATAGAAATATGAACTATCATCATTGCTAAAAATGTACTACCCATCAAACTGATAGTTATTTCAAGGTTTTTTTTTCTCACGAAGATACCTTTGGGTTTGTGATGCCAGACAGACCATTTGGGGGTCTGACTGGGTACAAATCGAAGGGTTTTAACAGCAACAGAAGTCGCCTCTTTGCCATTCTCTCTCCCTCTCTTTTTCTAAATCACAGCATGTGGGTAGCTTCAAAAGTGGCACGGCGAGCGCCTTTGCCGCCGGCGACGAACCAAACTAAAGGTGCGGTAACGCGAAGAGGGTGAGCACAGGGTCCAGTTAATTCGGCGTTAGCCTAACGGGCACGTTGAGCTCCCACGAATTTTCAAATGGGTCATGGTCAAGGCCTCATGGGCTCCAATTTTTAATGATTATTATTCCACTTGACCAGGAAACAACCTTTTATTTTCAAAAACTCATTTCAATCACATCATCATATGTAGTTAAATTTGAAAAAAAAATAAAAAAACTTTATCCTACATGAAATACGATTAAAAATGAATAAAGAAAAACTAAAATAGAAAGAAAAGTAAAATATAAAAGTGGAGTAAGTCTGAAATTCTTTGTTCACATTTAAGGTCATAAATTTTCCCTAACTAAAACTAACTTGTGTATGAAGACACGATATAATGTGAATGATTTTAAGAGAAACGTTGGTGGCCGTTAGATGAGTCTATTTGAAACTGTCGAATAGTCTTATTGAAATCTATCCTATTTTATATTATAAATTTATTTTAAATCATCTTTTGTGTCGAGTCAATTAAGCCTAAATCACGATTAAAAAAAGACTAAAAATGATTATCTTGGTTCAAATCACCATATTATTTTACTAATATTCGCTTAAATTTATTTAGATAAGGAAATGATCAGAAACTTAATATATTTCGATTTAGTTTGGTATTAGTTGGAGTAAAAATTGATCATATTGTCTTGAGATAAATGAGTAGATCCCATTTTAAAAATGGGATATTTTCCCCATTTATATTTTATATGGCCTATTTTACAATAATTGGTGTTAAATTCAAAATAATAACCAAAAAATAAAATAAATAAAATATGTGATACGCCCAAGGGAAGGCATGTTTTTTGATATTTTTCAAAATTAAATCTTCATATCCTCTCATTTATAATGCGAATGAGAATAACATATATATTTTTTTGTGCAAATTTTTCTAATCAAATCAAACATGAACAGATTAATTCATGAAAAATGTCAATCTTTAGTCACTCTTTAAATACAATTAGATGACACTTCGAAATAGACTCACTCGTATATAAAATACTACTAGTCCTCCACATAATCTCCCGTATGTTTAATTTTAAAGTGAAATTAGAAGAGATAAATAATGAAAAATTGTGTGAAATTTCGAGTAGTCATAAATAGTTACAAGGGAGGTGGAGTATTATAACTCTTTCCTCTCTGTTTATTAATAAATTATAATATAGATATGTTTTTGCAAATTATTTTAGGAAAGTAATTAAATAGAGGTAAATAAATTTAATATTAAGTAAAAATTTCCTTACCAAAATTCTCAACCTAACCCCAAGTACCACTTTTGGTAAGGACTTAACCCAACCTAACGTTAGATCCGTTCTCTAAACCCACCTAACACTCAAACCGGATTCAAACTTGGGTTTGGCTTTTGATAATTCACAAACAAACAACGTTGACCCACCCAATCTCCTCCCACCAGCCAATCCGGTAGACTCCATCGGGCGTTACCAAATCTCCTCCCACCAGCCAATCCGGTAGACTCCATCGGGCGTTACCAAATCTCCAGATTCGATTCAGATTCAGATTCGCTCTCATCCAACACAACAAACCCTAACCCTTCAAGCTTCTACGGATCATCCGATCGGACTATCTGCCATCGCCAACGAACACTCTTGATAGTGAGGAAGGTTCGAATTTTTAAGACCCAAATCGATTGTGCTTCCATGGATTATACTTTTTTCTTTCTTCTCCGTTTCTGTAATTTTGTTAGATTGTTGGTGTGTATTGACCCATTTGCATGTTTAATTTTACGGTGGGTGAGTTGATTTTTTGATGGGTATGTCGTAATTATGTGGATTCTATGCTTGAAATTAGAACTGTTGTGGGTGTCAGACTTGTACAATTAAAAATTTTGGGATTTTATTTTGGTTTTTGTGTGGAGAGTTTGGTTTTTTGATCATGGTATTTGTCTTTTCAGTTCAAGGTGATTGCTTAATAATACTGTTGAAATGCTGATGGCTTGCTCGAATTGAGCTGTTTACGGGTGATTGCCTTCTTTGAGAATAGTAATTGGCAAGGATCTTGGTTTTTGGGGAAGCTGATGTGATTTAGATTGATGCAAAATGGCTTGTGTTATGCAGTTAAATTATATGTTCTATTTAAAAAGTCTGAATTGGGTTATGGGTAGCTTCACTGATGAGTGATGATCCTGTGGATCTAGACATGGGCATGCCAAAGATCTTGGAGGGTTTATAATAGCTTGGACGGAATAGTTCTGGAAGTGTTTCTATTGGTCGCTCTGATAGGACACATAAAGTAGAGGAGATTGACCCAGATATATGGTTGGACTCAAAACTTTATGGACCAAATAGTGTAGACATCTTCTGGTCCCTGTGGATATGAAAAATATCATCACAAACATCTGATTTATGACGCCCTTTTCTTTCATGCTGAGAATTGGAATTTTCCCTCAATATCTAGAGGGAGGGGTTCCTATGACTTGGCGAGGACATTGTTGCCAAAGTTGAACTATTTGCATATGTGATAGTGTGCACTTTCTAACTTGGAATTTTTGGAAGATATCTGATCATATTGCTAGCCAATTGTATACTGGAGGACCATCTAAAATAAATGGGTTGGCTTATTTTCTTTTAGGTGGAGAAGTGAATATGTAGTTCAAATATGGGAGTTCCTTTCTGGATGGCTTTGTAGGGTTTGATTCTTACAAGAAATATATATACACATGCACACACATATAGACCAATGATTAGTGAATGAAGCCCAGCTACATTGAAGTAAAAAAATTACATGGGTATTCCAAATTTTTGTAGTGAAGTTGAAGTTTCTGGATGTTGACTATTTTGATTTTTATATCTTTTAAATCGAAGTTGTAATGATATAATTTAAAAAGTGGAATATTTGGATGGATGAAGTTTGATGTGCAATTGTTTTGATCCTATGCGATTGCATTGCATGCTTTTGAACAGTCTAAATTGGATGGGTTGATCACTTGATATTTAACCCTCTAGATGAAACATATGTCAAAAATGTGGGGTTCTGGCGATTCATTTTACCTTTGATTTCCTGGCTTCAAGAATGATCAGGATTCACGTAGGTGGATCTTTACGTGATTGTTTTTACGAGCTTTATTTTATAGTAGGACTGTAGGAGAACGTTTTGCTAAGTTAAAGGATTTCCACAAAGCCGCCTGTGTCACATATATCTTCATACTTATTCTTATGTTATGTTTGCCTTTGGCTTGTAGGTGATATGGTGAATCTGCTTAGATTTCCTATGATGGCATGCTTTTAACTGCTTAGATTTCCTATTAGTTGGTGTGCAAGAATTTGTGAATATTTCAGTCCAAGATGTTCAGTTTTTCACAAATCTTTTCATGAAGGAATTTTATGGCATTCTTTTTGATACGTGATGGGGAACTTATGAATTAAGATGGTGGCATCTTCTGCCGTAACAAGATGCCATGTGCATTTCAAGTTAAATATAGAAGATGCTTCTGGAGCTTTGTAGCCAGATAAGCATGGCCAGCTTCTGGGGAAGCTATGTTAAACTTTTGTTCATGCAAGAAGAAAATCTTCTTGCAAGGTTTTGATTCTTGATAGGGGTTGTAGAGAGGCATGAACTAGGACTTTTAAGGTCAAACATGGAAGGAGATTGTCAGCCATTTCGAAGTTTCTTAGAGATATTTTCATTACCTCGTAGGGGCTCTCAATACTTCATCATCTGTTGGCTGATATTTCTTTAGTTTTCCTAGAGTAGCATATTTGTAATTTGATATACTTGGTTTTGGTGGGGGTGAAGGGCGGGGAGAGGAATAGGAGAAAATGTGTTGGATATCTTTCCCTGGGTTTAGGCCAATGTCATTGTGTGTCATGCTTGTGCCAGTGACAGGCCAATGTTGTTCACCAGTTCCCAGAGGGTTTAAAACTTATATTTAGAAGTTCGAACCCGAATTCTGCATCAGAGATCCTGTTTGAAGCCTCCTTATTCAGTATCTGCTTTTCTAGATTATCACTTTTTGTAAACCCGGAGCATAAGATTGGTGAGTCAAACTGCCCATACATTTAACAGTGGTGACCTTCATTTGGGTGTGCTTTGTGTATGTTTTCACTATCTACCTTGCAGTATGCTTCATAATTGTTGTTATGTCATCACATACTATAATTTTGCTCTCTGATGTATAGATGCTTGAGCCACTTGCTAAAACTGCTGGTTATACAGTCTGATCTGATTCTTTTTTTTAAAACTATTTTTCTGGTGGGTACAGCTACGTTACCAATTCTATTTGATGGAAATATCAGATGAGATCCCCATCAAGAAACCGAAGAGGTTGACATCTGTTGTATGGAATCACTTTGAAAGAGTTAGAAAGGCTGACATCTGTTATGCTGTTTGTGTACATTGTAAAAAGAAACTTAGCGGATCAAGTAACAGTGGGACTACTCATCTGAGAAATCATTTGATACGGTGTCTGAAAAGGTCTAACTATGACGTTTCTCAAATACTTTCAGCAAAGAGGAAGAGAAAAGAAAGTAGCCTTAGCCTTACGACTGTCAACCATGACGAAGGCCAAGGGAAAGATGAGATTATCAGCCCCGTACCCATTACTTATATGTTTGATCAAGAGCCAAGAAAAGAAGAAACCAATCAAACCATCAACCTTGGAAGTGTTAAGTTTGACCAGGAGCGAAGTCGACTTGATCTTGCCCGTATGATCATTTTACATGGTTACCCACTGGTCATGGTTGAGCATGTTGGATTTAAAATATTTGTTAAGAATCTTCAGCCACTGTTTGAGGTAATGCCTAATAGTGCAATCGAGCTAGACTGCATGACAATTTATGGGAAAGAGAAACAGAAGGTTTTTGAGATGATACATAATTTGCATGGCAGAATTAACCTTGCTGTTGATATATGGGGTTCACCTGAAAATGCGGAGTTCTTGTGTTTGACAGCAAATTATATTGACGAGGATTGGAAGTTACAGAAGAAGATACTGAATTTCATAACATTGGATCCTTCTCATACAGATGACACAATTGCAGATGATGTTATTAAATGTTTGACAGATTGGCAGA